ATGTTCGTGTCGTTATCGTGATCGTTATTAATGTTCGTATCGTTATCGTGATCGTTATTAATGTTCGTATCGTTATCGTGATCGTTATTAATGTTCGTGTCGTTATCGTGATCGTTATTAATGTTGTGTCGTTATCGTTATCGTTATTAATGTTCGTGTCGTTATCGTGATCGTTATTAATGTTCGTGTCGTTATCGTGATCGTTATTAATGTTCGTGTCGTTATCGTGATCGTTATTAATGTTCGTGTCGTTATCGTGATCGTTATTAATGTTCGTGTCGTTATGCGATCGTTATTAACACAGTTTAATCTTATTTTGTAAAGGAAGAAATCACAGAGCTAATATCAATGGTTGTGGAATTGCAAAGGAAGCAAAAACAGGTATCATGCCTTTTAATCTTTATTGTCAATTTTCTTTGTCGATTTTGGACTTTTATTTATTGGCTTATTGGCTGAATGTTTCTTCGGCAACTCTGTTATTCTGTACAGCGTGAACGAATATTGAAAGTTGCGTTTTACTTGGGAGGATGTTACGTTGAATCGAAACAATTTGACTCTTGTTCAGGCTGTCGTGCTAAGACGGATGTGTCGTCTTTTCACATATAGTGAAGCAATTACTTGTTACTCAGTGTTTCCAAGTAGAAGCAAGTTATAGGTATGAAAACTGAAGTGTTGGAAACGTAGTGTAGTGAAGCATAAGTTTTAAATTCAGACTCGTCTGGTAAAAGCACATGGTGTTGGGAAAAGTTAGTTTTTTGGTTAGTTGCTTACTTAAAAGTAGAACTCAACAAGCCCTGACTTTTGCCGCTAAAGCTCGTAGGTTTTTGAAATCCATTCATTATACAATTAATGGATTCTTATTTTCTCTCATGTGAATTTCTTTTAGTTATCGGTTGAAAATGAAGATTTGCAATTCCAACTAGAGGATTCCCAGCAAAGCCAAGAGTTTTTAAGATCTCAAGTAAGAACTCTTTTGCCTTGCCTGCAGTTGGCATCCTGTACATTAACAAATACAATTCTAAAGGCTATTCATTGAGACTTTGCCTCTAACTAGTTAACATTGCTTTGACTCTGTATACCTATCAATAGATGTAATATTTGGAATATATGTATCTTTAATGACCTACCGTTTTCCAGCATTTGATAGGGATGGAAAAAGTATCGGACCATGGGTCCTAGAAAGACAGGAATTAAAAATCCAAAATCAAAAAAGAGTACGAGAAAAGGAAAGTTGGTAAACCAATGCAATAGCACATAATATCCTTAACAGATGTAGGATGTAAGGTTTTAAACTAAGCAAACTGCTGTGATTGTCAATTATGTAGCTTTGTACCAGATCAGCATACTATATACTAGCAGCAGGTTACTCTAGAATAACTTCAGAATAAAAGTCAACGGAAGGCTCAGCTTGTATTTTGGCAGCTTTCTGTGAGGCTTCGATTACTTTACCTAAACGAGAGTTGCATTGGAGATTCTCTCAATTTGTATCAAAACAATTATGAGCAGTCAGTTCATCCACGGAGTAGGAATACATCACCGAGTTAAAAAGCTTATTCAAATAACATCAAGTACTTATTGAAATTGCAGCTTATCGACATGCAGCGAAGATTCCAAGAGTGTTCTGAACTGCTAAGAGAGAACCAGGTTAGTTCTAGCATATTCATAATCTTCTTGCTTTCGTCTTGCTTTTGGCATCATTTTTCTTCATTTCAAAAGGAGGTTGCAAGATCATTTCATGTGTTCGCAGATTAGCTATGCTGGACGATCTGACCAATGCACCTAGTCAACTTCAGAGCACTGGAAATGTTTTTGAATAGTGACATCCCAGAGAAAGGCAATTTGTTGTTCACAAGCTGACTCGTCTGACTTTCTCGATATTTGGTTCTTTTTCGTTTCTATCATCACCTATTCTATCGTTATTCAACTCTAACTCTAGCAAATAACCGCATGTTTGAGTTATTTTAGTAGTTCATTTTGTACCGTAGTTTACAATCAATTTCAATATCTTACAGGATGAGGTGAAGCAGCTTCGAGACAGAGTTGAGTATGTAAACTGTAATTTATACTTATTTTTGTATGCATTTTATCTCCCGCTTGAATTAGTCTCGTTAATTTTGTTTTTTGTTAGATTATGTGCGCCGTTTTGTGGTTGTATTGAACTTATGCATGTGCCGCTCGTTTATTATTATATCACCTAAAACTGGATCTACGAAATTGAAGCTCGTAGGGTCCAAATGGAAAGCTCCGTTTCTTCGGTTTTATCTTATGATAATTTATCCTTTAGGCTGAAGGAGCGCGACTCTTGGGTTTTGGATCATTCACCTTCTTCGACAACTCAGGTAATCTTCAAATGTAGATTTTCCAAGTTCACTTTCTAATATTTGCATCCGCATGTTCGCATTCAATTTTGATTTATAGCACTATCTTTGCTCATTAGTAAAGGGGAAGATTTTGCGAAGAAGACTGTAAACAGATTGATATTCTGTATTAGGTTGTCACGGATAATTGTGAAAACTGTAAGTAATTTATGGCATGAAGTTGCGTCATGCATATCACGCAGTAGTTATTTCTGCATAGGTGCATTAGAAAACTGAAAGCATCTTTATCAATTTGTATTTGAGCTTGTGGATTTTTAGCTTTTTCTTGGCGGAACTGATAAATATATTGCAACTGTTGTATAAATAAAAGCAGCCAAAACTTTGAACCTAAATTTCTTCAACACAGACCATCATCTAATTATTTTCTTTAATTCAAGTTTTATTTTTTATTTATAGCACGATTCGCTCGCTTGCGAAATCGAAGAGACGTTAAAACGAGAACTAAGCTGGCACGACAGAAAGTAGGCTCTTAACTTTTTTCTTTCATATTTTATCAGGCGAGGAACGAAGAAGTAGCCACCAAAATATTTGAAGAGCCTTTTTATTTGGCAACAAGTATTTAGTCATATAAATCATCAATATATTCATGCATGCCTTTATCAAAAAGGCTATGAAGTTTTTTGATCAAAATGGATCTAAAGCTGTTTTTATTTCTTTTTACTTGCATTCGCGATTCCAGGAACTTGAACAAACATTAACGAAGTGATACCCAGCCCGGCTAACATTCGTTTAATGATTACCTATAGAGTAATTAAATAAGTTTGTAAAACATATTCGTTGATTTTTGTGATAGCCGAGAAAAGACAACAAGAGTTCTGGAGCAAGTAAGAAATGCAAACAAATACTTGAAGCCGGGCAGCAACTACACTGCATCGAATTCTGGGAATTGCTCCTCGGCAGCGTCGTTAAAGTCACAGACAAGCGTGGATTCTGATAGTCATTCTGTTAGCTCATTGAGTCGATCTGTAGTTGGAAGCCAAGATTTCGATGGTAAGACGATTAATTTGTGTTTTGATTCTTTAATTTAGTTTAGATTAGTTCCTGACCATTTAAAATATAGCTCTGAATCTTACTAATTGAAAGCTCATACCTTTCTAGAAAACACCCTTCGAAGCTCTTTTTTCTTTACGATAGAACCACGATAGTTCTGTAAGTTTGGCTGTAAAGCCGATTCCCTCGAAAAACTTTAAGTGAAGCTTTCTCAAAATGCGAAAACTTCCAAGCTGCTTTTGGGCGTGCATCATGGCCAGAAAAAAGGTTGTGAATATTTTGTTTTGAAATGAAATCATTTCGCTTTAAATCATTTTTAAAAGGAAGCCCCATCGGGCAAGAGAGCTGCTTGACAGGAGGGCGCGTCGAACTTTACAATAAGAGTAAATTAAACATAAATTGATTAAAAGGTAAGAAAATATTAGAATACGTATGTACAAATTACAAAAGAAAACAGAGCTGGACGGAGAAGGGAAAATTGCTCTCAAAACTACTTCTAAAATGCTAAGGGAGGGAGCTATTTTCACATCCAAAGGCAATTTATTCCCAGTTTTTGCACCCTGGAAAGATATATCTTTATGACCATCGCGAGAACTCATCCTTGAACAAGTACATCGGCAGTGGAACTGCGAAAATTCAAAATGCCAAATTCTCTCCAATAGGTTTGAAAGATAAATGGGCTTAGCTTTTAGGCTGGAAATGCCAATGAACATGATCTCTTTAGGACTCAACAATTCTAGAGATCATAATCCTGCGTAATCTTTTTTAGATGGTCGAAGGAGGAAGGGTTTCTTGGCAGCAGAAAAGTTACAAATTGTAAAGCCATTAGAAGGTAAATTTATGTTTTCTTCTAACTTTCGGGTGAATAATTGTCAATTTTAGTTGAAGGTATACAATCTTTACAGGAAGTTTCAAAGTTATCTCAAAAAAGTTGTTGTAAAGAAAGTTTTAGAAGAAGATTTTCCTTCAAGTCAATATTCGTCGAATAAGGTTAGATGCTGGAACTTCTGCGGAACCTTTGGTTAGCATCCCATGCTTATCCTAACGCCGTATTTTTCAATTAATGTTAACTAATTGCGAAAGTATAGCATACCAACGAGTTATAATTAGTGGTCACTGCATTGTACTCTTTGTTTTTTCCATAGGTTCTTTGACGCTTCATAAATGGCAGCATTTAGCATCTGAAAACGTAGTTGCTGGGTTGAATGTTGGCAATGTTTTAACGCATAATGAAGCAGAACGGCAAGCTGACCTCCAGATTAGTCCAATTGATTTGCAATCGGCCGAATGCTCGTCAACTTTAAGTCAGTCAGAAATAGGTTCTAGTTCCTATTTGCGAGACTTTGACAATGGTGGAAAGAAATATGACGATGACGTTGATGATGATGATGACAATGATGACTTTGGCCTGACATTAAAGGCAGATAGATCCAATGCAGCGAGGGAAACCCAACCAGTCTCTCAAGGCGGCAAAGAAAAACAGTCAACCCCAATTCAGGCCAGTGCTAAGTCGATGGAATCCATGTTTACGAGTGGACACCCTGAAGGATCTAAACAGGATTCAGTGGGACTGAAAGCTTTAGGAATGGCTGCTAAGACCCATCACGATCGCACAATTATAACCCGAAACTCGTCAGTGCTAGCTTCTATGCGGGAGGCAAGGTCTATGCTGAACAAGGAAAACGGTAGCGCCAAAGCCAAAGCAAATGCAATTGATATTCTCGCGAACGCCATGAGTAAAGCGAATGTCGAGGCGAAAACGGGACAGCGAATCCTCGAAAGTGTTTCGAACAGAAATAACCAAGGGCGTGTCAATTTGTCAACACCAAGAAAGGATTACCAAGATATGCCCAAACTGAATAAGGTTTTAGAAAGGTTGGCTGCAAATAAGGGCAAAGGAAAGGTTGACCTAGATGCAGTTCGAACACCGCTGAAACTATTAGTTGAAAGGGCTGCAAGCATTTCGACAAATAAAAATGACGCGACTGTTAAAACTGGTGTTGATAAAGAAGTAAAAAATAAAAGTGAAGCATCAGCAGCTGTTTCAAGGGCAGATGTTACACCCTCATTAGTGGTGGGGCCTGCAGGAATGCGTGCGACAACAGGGGTTCTGAACACCATACTTCAAAGAAGCGGCGTTAGTTCCACACAAACTCCTTTATTGTCCTCAGTATTGTCTTCCAACATCAGTGCTGCAAACTCGCAAGAGCCCAGCGTAAAACCCGCATTAACGAGGTCTTGGAGTAGCGGTGATGTCAGAAGTCTGAATAAAAACGACCTTTCTTCGTTGGGCTCCTTTCAGCCTGCTACAAGTTCTGAGGGCAGTGGTCGTGTTCGTCGAAACAGCTTGAATGCCGACTTACCGTCGTTGTCAGACACAAAAAAGACTGCCTTTGCCGGACTTGGAATGTTGAAACGCTCAAACAGCAGTGGAAGTCTATCTGACCTTGTCAAACAAACTGAAATAAAAGCTACAACGGGCTCCCCACCAAGCTTCGCTCCATTCATCAGTTTCGATAATTATGGCGTTGAAGATTTTTCTATGAATTTGAAAAGCTCGACGTCATCAGGCGGAACAACAACAGTTACTACGACGACCTCGTCAACGTCTGCAACTACAACCACAGTGAGTAAACCCACTGGGTTCTTACGCAGTTTTTTCTTAGGCTCATCAAGTGGAAGTAATTCTGTTGATGCGAAAAGACCGTCTAGTTTGCATGAAGGAGGTACTGGTACTGTAGGGGCTGCTACTGTAGGGGCTGCTGTCGCCAAGGGGACCGGGAGATCAGTTGAAAGCGGAATTAACCGGTTCGGAAAGGCCTTGGCACAGGAGGATTTTGGTGGATTTGGTTTTGGACTCATGTCTTATTTCAGTGGTTCAAAGAATTCAAAGTCTGGCTCATCGTCACCTTAAATCTAAGGAGGGACTCCCGGCACTGCTTGCAGTGAAGTTTGTCTTAGACTCTAGTATCTACAAGCGCAACTCTCCGTGCAATACCTATATCCCTTGAGTATCGACAGAGTTTGTTATTTTGTAGGCAAAATGTCCATTGTCAGCCACGATTTTAGATTTAAATAAATGCATTGTTTGGAATGCCATGAAGAATGCTTACTTGAATGAACAGAAAAATTGAATGGAATGAATCAGCTATAGACTGGCGTTAAAACTTTTGTCGAGTGATGAAGGACCATTTGCTGTTAAGATTTTAATTTTAACCTGGCAAAATGTAATCAAACCAGCGTATTTCACGTTTCACATGAAAATATTTAAACTCGAACCAAGCAGCGGAATGTTGAACCTGATGTTTCGACCATTGTAAGGTAAGGGACCTGCGGATCACTTTTCTTTTCACTGGAACAGAAACTTCAATTGTGTTCCATTCCGCACAACTTGTTACCAGATGCTGCATATTTTCAATGGCCACACCCTTACACTTAATGACAAAGTATCTATTTAAAGATGCCATCTCATAGAAGTTTTGAAAACTATTTTATTCCCCTGTGGTGCCCGTAAGTACTTTACCTAAGAAAGTAACCCAGTAAAAGGTAGGTCTAGTGAAGAGAAAAGTCGCCTTTAAGCCCCGTTAAAACGCTCTCAACATTTCACTGAACATCGCTCAACATTTGTAGAGTGCAAATGTTGAGAGCGTTTTAACACCCTGTTCAGTGATGTTGAGTGGTGTTGAGCGGTGTTCAGGGATGTTGAGTGGAGTTTGAACAGATTCAAAAATGTTCAGCGGGTCGACTCAACATTTCTATTGTTAAAGGTGTTGTTGAGAGATGTTGAGAGCGTTTTAACACCCCATACAACAATGTTCAGTCAGCGCAAGCGCACTAGACTTGGATTTTGCGCGCCAAAGAAAGGCTTCAGCGTGTCAAGATTTCAGATCAGACCAAGAGGTTGAGAGAAGTTGAATTTTATAAATCGTAATGGCACACCATGACAAACGCTTGGAAACTGTTGGCAGTGAAAGCAAATCGGATGAGATAGCAATTCAAAGCATGTTGCAAGACCAATATCCTGACCTTAGGAAATCATCAGGCAGCTACTGTTAAAGCAAAAGAGTATCCGAAGTTCATCTTCCTAACTTGTCTTGGATCTCTGAGAGTCCGAAGTTCACCGCTCAACGAATGTTGCGTCGAATTGTTGAGAGCGTTTTAACACCCCAATTCAACATCACTAAACATCACTAAACATCACTGTACAAATGTTGAGCGATGTTCAGTGAAATGTTGAGAGCGTTTTAACAGGGCTTTACACGTGTGGGCCACCGGACTCTCTTGGATACTTGCCATCTGCTGCAAGCAATTTTTCTAAGAAATTGCACATTTCTTTTTTGTCTACTAGCCCCCATACCGCCCCTTCATTATAAATATAAATCATTTTTTAAATTGTGTGCCCCGTTATGGGGAATGGAACCTTGTCGTGTATATTAATGCAAATTTGTGTTAGTATTTATTCAACTGAATCCAGAATCAATTTAGAGTTGAATTGTAAAGTAGGAAAGAAATTGGAATGTACTGTCTCTACAAACGTTTTGTGTCCAGTTTGCTCCATTGTCTTTACAATTTTGTCACCATTTTGAAGTTAAAAAGGTAAGACAAATGTTTGTTGCTATCAATTTTCGTAAGCGGCGCTCATACCTCAATTTCTTTTCTTGTCCTTGACAGTGGCGGCTCGTGACTTTCACAGTTGGGAGGGCAGACCATCAATATTGCGATAATCGATAGAAAAGGTCGACTTTGCAAATTTTTCACTGTATTCATGGTTCGATGTTGATCGTCATGGAGCGCAGAAGAAAAAGCATAAATAGATGTGGTTGTTGTTTAGCGATGATGTCATTTTATGGGCAAAATTTTTCTTGCCCCGAATTCCTCCAAATCAGGCCGCGTTTCGCAATGCTCGAGGTCGAAAACTAGCTTCTGCGCATGTCGGCTAGGGGCAAAAAAAACTTTGCCCGTAAAATGACATCACCGCTCAAGGCACTAGCGGGCCAGAAGCGAGGCTAAGGACGAGACGGGATAGCAAGGAGCTTTTTCTAGAAGAGATACAAACTTATACAAACTGTATCCCAAGAGATACAAACTCTAAAATACAACCATGAGATACATTTCCCAAATTAACCACAGTAAGACTATCTTCAAAATTAAATATGAATATCATAGATTTCCTTTGAATCTTTTTGAGGGGGCATTGCCCCAGATGCCCATTAGCAAGAGCCGCCACTGGTCCTTGAAGATAAGAGCTTGAAAAACGCACCTGATTCCGCTTCTTTGTATTTATGCATTAGAGATTGAATTTTGTCGCTCGTGAAGCATATCAGACAGCATGAATATGTAGTAACACATTGCAAGAAGCATAATTGTTACGTTCGTTGCTGGATGACCTGAATTTTCATCAAGAACAGCCGACCGTAATCCATGAAGGTAAGCAAAGAGTATTTGCACATTGTAGCAATCCAAGGTTTCACTCAAGGACCAAAAATACTGACAGAAAAGAAGCATTATATAAGGAAAATGATGGATAATTTTGTTATTGCTTTTAAATTTTGCTCAACTGAAGTTATGATTTAACTGAACCTTTCTTAAGGTTGTCTTCAAATGCATCGATTCGTCTTCCTTGAGTTCCCTCTTTTAGAGCTTGGGTCGGTGCTACGGGTGTGTGTGTGTGTGTGTGTTTGTCCCCGGCCGGGGGGGGGGGGGGGGGTTGGGCGCCGGGGGGGGGTCACCCCTCTCCCAATAGTTATGAATCGGTGCTTTACTCAGCAGATTCGGCCTTTTTGTGTGCTTACTCGGCAAACTTGGTGGTAGCATAATCAATGATAGTCGATGCCATATTTTATTGTTTGCATTTTCATTTCGATTCGATCCTTTTCGCTCTTCTGCAAGTTAATTTTTTTAATGTTAATAATTAATATTTACCATTTAACTATTTATTTGCAACCCGAAACCAGACAGGACCAAACTCCACATTCAGTGAACATTATTCTAAAAGTAAGATTGCATTGTGAGGTAGTAAAAATTGCTTCTATGAATGCATTTTCCAGCGAACTGGAATCATCAAAATTCGAAAATTTTCCCACCTGCGGCAACCATGGTGCCGCTTCGGGCGATCGTGTGCTTCTTTATTGCTCGTGTCGCAATAATCTGCAAGCTGGTATAAAATCAACCTATCTAAGGAAAAATGGCTTATTTTCTGTTAAATGTTTGAACGAAAAAAGTTTTGTAATATCAAAGAAAATTTATTCAAGAAAAGTCTATCCCAATAGCCTTTTTTACGACTGGCCTTGCTTGGCAATGTCTATTTACTATTTTATGAAATTTTATGAAACTGAAATCATTATGTTGTCAAATGAAAGTCACTTTATGTTCCTTCAGACTGCTCTAGTCAAGATATTATTCAGAAGGGTACTTAAAAGTTGGGGATAAGCAGATGGTTTTAAAAAACGTGCCGACCTTCAAAATAAATGAAGAAGGCAGCTAAGATGTATCAAATCCAGAATCAATAATGTTTACTTCAGATTGTCCAGTTGAATTGACTGAAATCTGTCGGAGAAGATGACCCTTACAACACTGTCGAAGGATTTAAAAGAGGGATAAAGGTCAAATTCTGAACCTGACACTAATATCTCTAACAAAATTCAATATAAATCTTATGAATCAAGATATGAAAATGTAAAGAGTGTGTTTCCTTGCTCTACCATCTCAATAATATAAATAGAAGCACCTCTCACAAAAAGTGTTTTTCAATGGCCCGAAAATTATAAAACTGTACGCAACCTCCCCTGAATCACAGGGAAACAAGCACATTATTAGTCTGATAAAACATGGTGAATCAGCAGCAGAATGTGCTCATTTTCATACCAAATATCATTGGATATTGCCGATTTTTTATTATTGTAGTGGCCTATACTCAATGGGAAACTCCTAATGTATTTATTTCGCTGTTTATTATATCAGGCGGTTTGGACTTCATTGATGGAGCTATAGCCAGAAGACTTGGACAGACATCAGCCTTTGGGGCATGGCTCGATGTTGTGATTGATAATATCTCTCGGTCAATGGTATGGGGAAGACTAATGCCTTCCCTAGGATTTGCCATTTCGTCTGTAGAGTGGCTAACTTTTGTATGCACACATCAAATTGGCAAGGAATGGAAAGCCCCTGTTCCTTATCAGCCGTGGTTTGTCGCAAAAGTTATGTCAAATAACTTCAACATACCATTGGGCCTATGGGTCATAATTAGCGTCTGGTTTTTGCCAGCTTGGCTTTATGCTATGAAATATTATCATATGGTATATAATTGGCTAAATCTCCTTGTAACGATTGTTTTTATCAGTGGTCGATTAGTGGCATTTGCGGCCGAATGTTGGTTTATATTTCAACATATTTTTATATTGATGAAAGACAATTGATTGAATATCATTTCACTGGAAACGCTTGCTGAGGAATGCATGTCAAGTAAAGCGAGTTTTCAAATTAGTGTACAATGTAGTAACTATAAAGAAGAATAAAATGCAATGGCATAAGGTACATTGTTTGTCATCAGTGCTTACAACATACAGAATATTATGTATTTTCAGTAGAATAAAGTACAATTGGGTTCAAAACAGGTTATCTCAGATATATCATGAATGTATTGGGTGTTTGTGCCTCAAAACTTCTGAAGCATACCCACCAATATAATTGGCCTTATTTATGCAATATATTTTCTAATGGAAAGCAAGGAAAAGTACATAAACAAAAAGCATATTCTATAAATCATTAACATTTCATTGGGTATGTTGGTACCCAACTGTTTGATCTAATGCACATTCATTTAAAAGAACCAGTGAGATTCTTGGGGACTTATAGTAATATGCTAGGATTATAATTGTAAAGCTACCCCACCCCTAAATCTGACATTAGACCACAAGAACAGAAAAACTGGGATTAATTCCTCTCCCTTATGTTGTTTCATTCTTTTAGCCCATTTAGGCCATTGATATAGAATAATTATAAGATAATATATATATGATTATTTGATGTCATCACAGTGTCCCTTCTTTTCAATTTGTTCTCCTCTCTTTATTGGGCTGTTTAGGGTTTTTTTTTACTTTCTGCTAACTTTTTCTGTTCTTATGAATTTTGATTGTACATTGCATTAGTTCTTTTCTGTAAATATCACACAAAATTCTTTGTTTGTAGTTTTAGTAAATTCAAAAGCTGTCATTTTGTTTATGCCCAGCAACACTTTGTTTTCAAGCCTTGATTGGTAAACTTTGTGACTTTTATGCCTTTATATAGGTCTTTTTGCAACTTCTTGTATGTTCTTGGTTTTTCATTCTACTTTTTTGAAAAATTAGATTTTTACTTCATCAAATATATCTTATAAACAGTTGGATCTAGATCATACAACTAAAGAGCTTTAAGAATTTGCTTTGTCATCAAATATTCAGCCCATCCTCGCCAGGTTTCAAGGCCAATCTCCACTGATGCTTTTTTGTAGCATTCGTTTGAAAAATTTGTGACGACAAACGAGGAGAAAGAAAAATTTCATGAGAAAAGCGTTTGCCCATCTAAAAATTTGCTTGGCCAATAGTTAAAGTAGTTTCTACTTTTGGTCAAGCAAAATTATTCAAAGTAAACATAGGACAATAGAATTGCATGGTTTTCTTAATCGGCCTTTGCAAGATGACATTTTCACAGCAACCGGAACTTAATAACAGTGAAACTAACTTCCAGTTATGTACTTTGTTTGGTAGATTAAGTAATAATTCTTTACCGCAAGCAAATATAATTTTTTAAATGCCGAATTAATTGGTATTCACCTTTCTGATCTCTGTCTTTATGTAATTTGTGCACCCATTTTTTTGTGCTTATTTTTAAAATCTTGATTCCCCTTCCAATGTAAATATAACAGTATTTCTTCTTTTCTCATATACAAAAATCGTAAAAGACAGCTCTGAGACAACATATTTGTCCTGAGAGCAGAGGTGATTTGGCACCGTATTTGCAGGGTGGCTAGCAAACCAAAAGGGCCCAGTTAAGGGTGTTGCAGACTTTTTTAAACCACACCCAGTAATGTAAGCATATCGTAAATTACACTCAGCCCAAATCAATTATGGATGGGTGTTGTACTCTATTTAAATCAAGGATTATATATATAATTGAAGTTGTGCAGTCCCCAACATGAAGGTTTTCATGTTGTTTCTGCTTCTGCAGCTCTTGTATGACCCAATGATGAAATGGTGGAATATGGAATGGCGGGCGCATGATCGCAAACCATGAAATCACTGATAACGTATGATAGATAACCGAATGACAAAATGATGTTTTACAGCGAAAATATATTTTAGTAAAATAAGTAATCAGTACCATAATTTAGTACCATAAAAAATTGGCGGAATTATCATTTATTATCGAGGTCCCACTTACCGATTGCAACGTCATTTGGATACTTATATTTTGTAAGAAACCACTTATAAACTCCAATACTAACTAAGAACAAATCATTTTAGAGACTTTTTGTCGTAGATCTTTTAGTCTAAGAAATCTAATGGTATAACTTTATTTAAGATCTGATTATTCTTAGAAACTCTCAGTACAGATACAATTATGTAGCTTTTTTTATAAGAAATAGCTGTTTTGCGACATATTTTTAAAAAAATTGTTATTTGTTAAATTTTGTTTTGTTGGAAGTCAGTGAGGTTACTTATTAATCATCAATCTTTTTGTTGTTTTGTTGAAAAGATTACCACATAGTTAAGCAGATATTAATGATATTAATGTTTTAGATTTTTTGGTTTGCAGTTAAGGAATCCAGTTGTTGCTGCCTTAGTTCGTCACATTTAATGGTCTTAAAATGTGTGATCATTCAACCTCTTTAGAATAAAAATTTTTTCAGTAATAAAATTTTTCTCACAACCAAAATTAATTTGGTTTGGCACTGCTGGTGACAGCTATTGTTGTATATATTCAGCAGGGATCCTCCCAGACCGTCAAATTTGCCGAAAAAAAATCATTTATTTGCCAACAGGTTTGAAAATTTGCCGACCAGCCATCCCTTGATGGCAAACACTCTACGCCTTTGAAATATGATTTTTTCAAGGGTATCCACACCCCTCACGCCCCCTTTCATGCCGGCTCTGCTGGCCCCCCCCCAAACAAAAAGTTGTATCTCGGTCCTTGGATTACGGAATGGTATCTGAAATTTGCCAAATTGCATATTGCGTGAATGCAAAATTCGGGATTTTGCATTTACCGGATCCATGAAACACAATGCATACATTCCAGATTTCGGTAACTGATTTTAGTCATAGATATCACCCCATAGAAACTTTCGAAGGAATAAACTTTTTGCGTTTCTTGGCGTTTTTGGCCTAAAATCGCGAGTGTTTGATACGCGAAACTTCTAGAAATACTAAATTTGGGAACCTCTATTTTTTGTATCAGGAATTTTGCTACCGATCCTCTTGCAAACTTTGATGATGAATGATTGTTTTGAACAAATCTTAATATTATTTTCATTGTTTTTTGGCATCATGTGGATTAAAAGTAAAAGGAAACAACCTCAGTTGAATAGAAATGATTTTCGCGCAAACGCGAAAGTCTGTTTTTGCGAAAGATCCTGTTTCGCTTCTTTCATGAAAGTTGACCAAAAATTTGGCGCTTTTATCGATTGGAGACTTATATGTGAGAATTATATGTGAGAATATGACCTTTGGGGACATCTGATCGCGCATGGAAGGTAATTATTATATAAATTCATTATTTCTATAGATTTAAATATTTTTCTTATATTTTAGATTGTAAATTGATAAGTAAAGTTTGTATTTTATTTGGTGAAGGGTTTCTCGTGTGTGCGAAAATAAAAATGAAAAAAGAAATGATTATTAGCTAGGAATGTAACAATGGCGACTCCAGACAACTACCTAACGACAACAACTTCTACAATCTCTACATATAGTTTCAAATTATTCCCTAGGAAGTAGGACAGACTTCTTGTCTTTGTGCGAAATTTGAAATAGATTTTCTGTATAGTGGATGTTGGTAACCGTGGGGCCTGTGGCCTGCGCGAAGACTTCGTCCCTGCGTAGTTGTGAAGCCAGCACGCATGTTAGGGGCGTTGGCTGTGACTGTAATATCTCAGTTTATGAAAATTTTCTTCTTCAACTTGTTTAGAAAGGGCCCGTTATTTATTTTTTGCTTTGCATATCTTTTTGCTATGCTTTGCATATCCGATCGCCACCTTGCCATCCGGGCCAAACCGCCCCTGCCTATAAGTCTCCCGTGCGCTGAAATTTGATCGAAATCGGTGGAGATTGGAACGAGCAGAATTAAGTACGAACGCTTTAGCGAACACTATGAAGCAAGCGTCAGTGGAAATTCGGCTTCAGTGCGTCCAAACTATTGCTTTAAGCACAAACAATATCAGGTTTATATCAGGTTTTATCACGAGGACAGTCAGCAACATAGTGGGCTAGCAGCCTCAAATCTTGTGTTGACTGATAAGGTTAATCTGACGTCACGCCGTTGCGTCACAATGACATAAATATATAACACGACATCATACACTTTCAGTATCTCTATTCCAGCAGTCAGTGAATAATCAGTGTTGTCTTTGGTTTTGAGCATGTCTCCAATTAGTCAGCTTCAAGTTATAATCGACAGTATCACACGTAAGTTCCTAATGTCCTCTAAATGGCGACACAATGCGAAATTCTATGCACGACTATCGTACCTCTTCACATAGTTCTTGTTCTGAATATTAATGTAGTCTTTGCTTCTTTGTAAACAGAAAATCCACTTAGGAACATTAGAATAGGAGCAAGATACTTGCTTCCTGTAAACCACATGTAAATATAACTTATAGTCTCGCTAGGCTTCCTTTTGCCATTCGTAAAGCTTATATTGTTAAAAATATTTATTGCTACTTCATTGAGATGTGAATGATGTGAACAAACAATGAATTGCAGTATCAAGTGACGAAAACCATAGTCCATCTTACAGACATGGTAATAAAATGGTAAATTGCTCTATACGACAATTGGCTCTATAATATCGAGATTCTGCCTACTATGGGTCTTCGTGTACTACCTTGGCCCTTAAATTTATTACCAAACATTAATGAATGACCCTCTTTAAGGCCTTTAATAGTACCATACCCGCACTGCAATGACAGAAAACTGCACGAGAATCCTTTTTTTCTTTCAGAATTATCATATCAGGACCTGGCAATGCCCTTATGTTTCGGAATGGGTCATAACTCGGGGGAGCACTCTTTGGCATACTTCACGGTGTCATTCGTCATCTCCATTCTCCTTGCAAAAGTTGTTTTGGCATTGACGGGTGGAATTGTCTGGTAAGTTTCATACATTGGCAGTCTAAATGTTTCGCTTATATTATACGATAGTGATGCATAAACTAATATATAGCAGCTAAGTTTGCCTGAAACAAAAACGAGAAACAATAGTCTACTTTTTGCGCGTGAGTACAAGTTCACTTGAAAGTTTCACTGCATGAATTAATATATAAAACGAAAAAATATTGATTAAGGAATCAGCAAGCGAACGATGGCATCTTCGAGCACTTTGCCACCGCCCTTCAGCACAGCCAGCCTCAAACACGTGGTACTTGTATATATTTTGTCAATATTATGTTATGTCATTTTCGTACACTACAGCCTTGTGTTGCTACCGACAGGATCCATCTCAAGATATGCAGCCAAGATTTCAGTGGATTGAAAAGCAACGCTGAGCTAACACCGTGTATTAGAAGACTGATAGGTCCCTCTTGGACAAACCTCTTTGCCGCTCCTAGGCCAGTTTAAAGAAAATTGTAGCTGTGTTCCTTGCTTTTTAGGTATATTACAAAGCGAGTTAGAAGACACTCAATGAAACAAGTGGCTTTCGGTGCCGTAGTGGATTTGCAAAATCTTAGTAACCCAAACGAAGAGGATGGACGGGTTAGCAAACCAAAGGACAGGAGTGTACCTGCCGAGTATCAAGGAAGAATTCGCCCAGTAACAGAAAGGACTCCTGTGACACCATCTTTGCCCAGGCTTGGTTCCAACAGGAACGTTGAAAAGCCATCCTTTATCAAAGGAGACATAAACATAGACCCTGAAAAGTGTCAAGGTTTCTTTTCACGAGGAAGCATTACATTTGAACCAGCAACAGTTGCTGGAGAGCCGAGCAGAGTGAGCATAGAGTATGATGAAGAAATGAGCAAGTACCTGCATAAAATAATGAGGAAGAAATCCAGGTTAAACGAAAGATTCATCTATTTGCGTAACCCACTAATAATCACAGATGAGAATGTAAGGTATGTACAAATGAGCAAAGTTTTTTCGTTGAAACATATGTCGCAATAAAGCAATAAGATTGACGTGTAAGGCGGCTTCAACTTTCTTCTAGCAATGGAGGGGCAAACTCCCAGCTTTGTTCGTATCCCATCTTCCATGGATACCAAACCTGAATAAACTCTTCTCCATTCTCTCGCTTGTATCTTTCACTAACGATAGCGTGACAGGATTGCGTCTTGAATATTTATAGGCTCTTCCTACAGGGCAGTGGAGCCGCAGAGGGGAGGCCCCCTTGCGAATAGAGGGCTCAGCCCCCCTAAGACAGGGTCCGTATATTGTTATGAAAATTCTTAACTCGACATTGTGAATCAACTCTTCAGCATGCTATTGAGGATAATTCAGTGAATGAGCATTTTCTGTCAGCCTTCTAGAGTCGGTGAATCGTTTGAGTGATTCCATATACACAACAGTGAATCTTCAATCTTTAACAAATTGAAGTATATAGGTTGTGACGATGGGTGTGATATTGGGTGCGGCTTCTACAGCACAGCCTTCCTTCCTAACTTTTTAGGACGGCATTACTGCTACAGGGTGAATTTCAAGAATGGAAAGAGGCTCCTTTTCGAACTTTAAAAGGTAGCAGCCTGTGTCAACCTTTCTTGGTAAATCAGCCTTACTGAAGATCTTACCCATTTCAATCCCCCCTCTCTTCACTAAGCAAAAGCACCGTGTGATCACCATTAGTTGACAATAAGGTTGAAATTGTTCAATCAATTCCTTTGTAGGTGGTTCGGGGTTGGTGTCTGCCTATCTCTTTGCGTTGTTTCAATAGCCCTTTCTCGAAGGTGAGTGCCTCGTATTTAAAATAAACACTTTACCTAAAAGCTGCAAATCTTACAGAAAGCCTTTATCATAGCCATAGCTTTTGTATTAAGGTACAGAGTGGGCCTTCTGTTCCAGTTTTTTTATTTAGCTATATTTGCATCGAAATTCGAGATTCAAAAATCATATTAAAGGGGTATTAAAGTAACAAAAATATTGCTTTGAGCTTACAGGTTCTTATAAAGTAGGTTATTATATTCTAGATTTATGTTTGTGGGCTTTGAAACGAAATTTAAAAGAATGCGCTTATTTTAGGATGGGTTTCATCTCTAGAATTATAACAGCCTCATTAATTAAGGAAAAACAATTTTTTCAAAAGAGCTGCATTTCACCTCTCGGGGAAAACGAGCAATAATTTTTAGAGGAAAACATTTCAGAGATTTTATCCACAAAAAATTTTAGTTAAAAGTAAATAGGGGAGTTTATACAGATCCATTGTGCAAATAACGACATTACACTAGTCGACCATTACACTAGTTTTCTGTTCTTTTCTAGGAATCAATGAAAATTCATCACACATTACATCACATAACTCTTTTTTGTATAGTAGTTACAAATCCAGGCATTTTTGCTTCAATTTTACAGATACCTTGTAGATATTCAAAGTTTTAGAAAAATTTATTTGTGTTTAAATTCTTAAATAAATGCCTTTAACAGGATGAAAATGGCGGTAAAAAACATGAGCCAATCATAATACATGTCCTGCATGAAAAATCGAGGAGCTAGTAAGACCGAGAAAGTGAAACAAAAAATCCAGCTAAACAATCTTATGAATCCAGCTCAAAAATCTTGTGAATCCAGCTCAAAAATCTTATAATGACGAAGAAAATCTAAATTCAGATCATTATACAACTGGAACAGAAAATCAAATCTGATAGCATCCTGAACCCTTTCCCCTTGGAGATTTAATGTGCAGTGATACTTAATAATAATAAATTACCAAGCAGGAAAAAGTAACAGCTTAAACTCCTGTAAAAACTTGTGTAAAGTCATGATTAATTATATCTGTCAAAATATGTGACAAAGAACAAAAATTAAAATCCAAGCTGAAAAATAAGCTAATAGGGAAAAATGAACGCCATATTTGTACAAAGTGAGCAGTCTATACGAAATGTTGCATCTGCAAGACGAGCAAAATCAGCCTCGTTAGATTATGACTCGATTATGACCAAGAATGCAAAAGCAAAGTACAATATAAAAGGTAAGATACTCCGATCGGGAGCACTGTTAGGTTTGGTTGTTGCAAGGCTACTTCCTCTTGGCTTGCTCGTGGGCACTGCAAATGGATCGTCGACGAAAATCGGCTTAGCAGAACCAGATATGTATTGGCAAACGCTCCCTGTTGCGCAAATAAAAGTACAGTTGGCGGGGCAAGCCAACACACCAGAGGCCCCTTTTCCGTACTTCACAGTACAACCGCCGCCAGTGCAACGTGACTCACAATTGGTAGATTTGCAATTGATTTCACAGCCTTTTCCAAAGCAAACTGGGTAGCAAAAGGAATTACTTGGCCCTGCACAAGTCATTTTACAGTTGTCTTTAACGCAATTTGGCCTGCATATAAATGCATTACAATCCATGTTGTGACAATTCTCTGTACAAGATTGGTCACAATCATTCTTCTGCAAAGAAGATGAACCACTGATATTATAAAATCTGAAAAACCTAGGCACAGTGAAACATACACCGTTATTATAAATTATAAACTCTCAAACCAATATTAGCAGTAACGGATGCCTACAAACGAATGCACTCGTGTTATATTTACCCGGAGTCTCGTCGACTTAAAGCATAACACTTTTGCTTCAATATAACGCCCGCAACCAAAATTTATTTACAAATTAGCCTTTGGTACCGCAAGTTCGTTTGGTCCAAATAAAAGTTGGTTTTCTCTCTTGGAGCGCGGATCGGTCAAAAACAAGGAACAAATCAACCGCGCCATTTTTCTCCCACTTTCCTTCCGATCCGCAGCTGGATATAATTTTTTGATTACCTTACGAGTATACCGTGCAAAATGCTATTTCTCCCCAGTGAATCCAAAGCCCTAAGTTTACATCTTCCAATAAAGACTTGCAATATGCAAGCAAGCAAAGCGCAAAAACGCTGTTTTCTTAAGGAAGAAGTGCTGATTCCTTCACTAATAAGACGAGCAAAAGGGTGCACTGGGACAGATGTCCAGCAGAGTAAGTGTAGTGCTATCAAAATAGCAAAGAAAGCCCTTGCATAAAATTGTGATAAAGACAATAGCAAAGGTAGAAAGTGACTATGGCGTATAAGACTGTGCTTCCTTAGTCTGTACAGATGGTCCCAAAATCCCAGAGTGCTTATCGATAATCAAACTTACTGTATTTTGGATGCGTTTCCTTTCAAAAGTTTTTCTCAAGGGAATATCTTGGTTTTATTGCTAAAAGCTGACTTAAGCGTTGCTAATTTCAGAAGACCCTAACCTAGAAATTATAGGTATTGAAATTGTCCCCAAACATGCTAAGAGTTACATCGTGCTATGTTGGTATCGTCCGCCTACCGAGAATACAGACGCTACTACCTTTGAAGCTTTAACCAGAATAATAAAAAAGCTAGATGCAGTAGACAAAGAAATTATTCTCACTGGCGATAGTGGAAAACAATTAACAAAGTTTTAAACAAAAGTCAGTGCTCCACGACTCCCAGATCCGTCATGTATGCGGGTCAACTAATTGAAAAGCAAAAGGGAATTTCGGAAGCATTTAATAACCATTTCACAACGATAGGCCTTAAACTTGCGAAAGAATCGTAACTAAAGAATTTGATAACCCATTAAAATACTTCGCTGATGAAGATGCATCCACAGCCCCATATTTTGAATTTCAATCAATTACTATAAAAATTGAAATCACAAAATTAAAATGCATTAAATCTGCGGGTTATGATAAGATTTTCAGTTCAGTTTGTGAAAGACGCAGCAGAAATTTTATGCAAGCGACTAGCTGCTATATCCAACTCTTCATTCAAAATGGGTATTTTACCAGACACATGGAAAATAGCAAGGGTAACCTCTATTTTCAAGTCTGGTTCTAAAAGTGACATGGGCAATTATAGGCCTATATCAGTGCTATCTGTATTCTCGAGGTTACTGGAAAAAATTTGGGCACGATCAAGTCGATTTACATGAAAGAGCAAAAGAAATTTGCTTAAAGTCAACATGCATTTTTAAAGATGCATAGAACCCTGACCTCGCTATTGAACATAACAGATTCATGGTTTTCTAATATTGACAAGCATAGAATTAATATAAGCGTATTTCTCGACCTTAAAAAAGCGTGTGATACGGTGAACCACGGGATTCTTCTATCGAAACTAACCAAATACGGAGTGGAAGGGACATCTCTTCGGTGGTTCACGTCGTATTTAACCGGCAGAAGACAGTACTGTCAAATAAATGGCCACAGATCTAGGTTTCTAAGTGGATTTTTCGCAGAATTTTTCGAAGATTTCTCTCGAAAAGAAAAGGATTTTTGCCAAAGGTTTACGAGATTTTCGTGAAGTGATATGTCCCTCAAAGGTATACGTTATGTTCGGAAATACAAAGATCGAGTAATTGTCTCTTTGAGCAAGAGGAAATAGAAAGAAAGGGACAGATAGACAATGTGATATGCAAACTCGCGCAATTAGAGTAATGATTTTGAGTACAAAAGACTTACAACTTTATCCTTTGAAATTCTATTTAATTTTTCAATTGATACCAAGAAAAATATTAAGAAAAAGCATGATTGTAAATTGAAAAAGGTGGTGGTCGAAAAAAGGTGGTGAAAGTCGCGTTCGCGTAGAGTAATGAGGTCTGCATATATGTGCACTTTTATTCGCTTATTAATGCAAATGGTATACAACAGTAGCGCTAAAGCTTGAAGAAATACAATAAAAGCTTATCAGGCAAGCGGACTTACCGAAGGTGCAGAAATATTACAAGACATTGCTGAGCATCCACCACGGAGGCACTTGGAATTGCAGCCACCGCTGCTGCTGCAAGACATCCCGCAGACCGCTGCGTTACATTCCTGTTCGCATTTCGCGCTACCACTACATTTCAGATCACAGGGTGATGACGTACAATTCTGAACCGTAGTGGATCTACCCAAATGCATAAACAGTGGAAGAATAAGTGCGAGTGCGGTGTATTTCATGGCTCCCCTTTTCTGTATCTACAAGCTGAAAAACAAAATGACGTGTTTCCAATATCGTGGTTTTAGCATCTATCTGAATTTTCAGTAAATTACATATGGGGTTCATGTCTTTTTCTGGGATCAATGGTGTATATCTAGTGACAGCTTTTCTCCAAATTCTATTGATGCAAAATGCAGTTCTTCTTAGAGTCTTCAGGGGTAAATGTACAAAATCAAAATTTTCTTTCTCTTCAACAGGCCCACTGAGAGGGGAGCTACTTATTGCCCCTGGACCTGTAAGCAAAGAGGGGCCGCTGGAAAATAAGCTGTCTCTATTTAAAGTACGACTCTTAACAACATGGTGATTACACATAAAAAGAATATACATCAAAAGTAAATAAAAAAATTCTATGCATTTTGAGTCCATATAAAACGCATTTGGGTTTACTGCTCTGTGTAGTACGGGCCCATGCATACAATGAGAGAACATAGGTGCCCCCGTGTGGAGCACCTTTAAACGTAGAAACGGACACGACTTAACAAGACCCCGGAGTCGCCCATGTTTCGTTAGGATTTCTCTACAAGGTGGGTACGACTCGTAATGAAACTTACATGTTTCCTATGCTACAGCGGACTTTAAATCGACAATTTACGATAGCTGTAATTCTCTTGATTTTATAGTGACCTGGCTCAAAGACAGCGGCAGTTTGACGGTTGGACTTCAATCACAACTTTTCTTCGACTAGCCGCTCCCTCCTCCTTAGCTCTTCATGCTGTTTCCTATTCCGCATTCCGCTTTTTACTAGTGAATGATGGCATTGGAAGCCATTCAAGGTATTGTTTGCCATCACCAAACCTGATCAAGCTCTCTTGAATTCCAGCGAAATCCCCTAATCAAACATAAGGACAAGTTGCCTTTGTTTGAGCAAAAACCGTCACCAGCGAAAACCCCCTTTTAATCGTCACAATGATTTTCGTGCAAAAATTCAATCTTGGGTTCTTTGTCCACAAATCCCTTCGTTTTTCCAGTCACCCTAAAAACATAACAATACCGAAATACCCATAAGACATTACTGGTCGTTGCTGTAATCCTGATTTGTTGATACTTTTCGTCACGAGTAACTCATGTCCTTAACTAAGGGGCAATCGCCCCTCCAGCAGCAGTTTCTTTCTATTGTTTTAAACAATAGGCTACTATCCTTCTCCTCATATAAACAAAGGCTTGTCCTGAAGTTAATTAATTGTCCTTCGAGTAACTGATAAACAGCCTTTCGCATCTCACCTTGCGATGATGGAGACTCGTAGGAGCATAATTTAAAGGTTCTGTCGGTCTATCGCAACTTCTAATGCCTCTTGGTATAATGACACAAATTTTTTTGTCCTTCAAAAACATGAAAAAGGGTCTCATCTTCTTTTCAATTTCATCGTAATAAAGGACTGCAAAAAGTCGTCCAGCTGTTGACCAAAGTAGAAGTTGAACTTCCTGGGCAGCAAGAAAGTGAAATTCTATACTTAACATGTCTGATAAACTGATTAGAAAATAAGTAGACAGATAAAGCCATGTTTCTGTCTTCTTAAACTTACCTGAATCCGATCATTCCAGTACTTGCCAGGTCTGCTGCGGCACAATATCTTTGCGGGAAATTATTCTGTTTTGCGTGGTGAAAGCACTCTACAAGTATACGGGGGTTTGTAAAGATAGAATTGTTTTGACAATAGCTGAGCGCAGAGCTCAGCACTTTCTTCGGAAGGGCGGTGCATCAGATGGAGGGGCGGTTCCACTTGGCCGCGCGTACAGAAGACTAGGAAACGGAAACCACGTACATACGTTCAACTAGAGATAGCATGCAGGGGCGGACTGGCTGGTCGGGCTATTCGGGCGATCGCCCGAAGGGCCGGTCTGTCTGAGGGCCGGTTGATAAAAGTGCAAAAAAATAAATTAGCTTAAAAAGTGAATGCGAGGCAAAAAAGTATACCCGCGTGTTGATCTGTTTGCCTTGAATTTTCAGAGACTTTGTGGGAAAGAATAAATATTCACGCGAGTACTCCAAAACAATCAAAATTATGAATTCATAATTGTCACCGCAGCCCAAACATGTAATATTTTCTCTTGACGGTATTTCCTTTCTGGCGACATATTATACTGTAACACCCCTGTTTCAATGCGATAAATAAGATTTTAACCTGTCCTGATGTCTTTTTACTTAGCTTTTGCTTGAAGCTGGTCATGTTTGTGCCTAAGCACAAGCTATTGCTAAATGTAATAAATTTAAAAGTCCAAAAATTAGAGTTCACTAAGCAATTTGCTCTGTGATGTGAAGCAATGAAGAGGACATACGTAGAACCAGTGGTGTACCCAAGGGGGGAATAGGGGGGTCCGGACCCCCCACTTGTGATCTAAAATGTGATCCTCGAGATTTGTCCAAAAATGATGTAAAACTCATCGAGGTGGGGGGTGTAGTATACTGTATGCTTGTGTCAATAACAATTGTAAAATACTTTCCTATTTACTGTAGCGAACATGAATCAAATAATGGCGGAAAATTTTGCAAAAAGGGCGTTTCTCTGCATTTGCGAGTGTTTGAAGGGCGTGGTCCAAAAAATTTCTGGGGGCTGTGCCCCAGACCCCCCCTCCACTTCTCCGGCCCTGGGTACGCCACTGCGTAGAACAAGGGAAGAGCAAGAAGACTTCAACCAAAGGTGATGCACAGAAATTTTGTGAGGAAAAGCTGCGAGACTTAAAAAAGGATTCAGCTACGATACAAAGCTTTTTTTATCAGGCAAAAGCCACAAACGTCACAAAAAACAGCAGGGTCTTGCTCTTGCTCCTTTCAATAAACTCATACAAGTTTTTGTAAGTTTATTATTAGGCCTATACTATCACAAGTCAAATGCACCCCCGCCCCACAGGGGTATGGTGCTACACGATAAAATTTCAACAGGGGTGCCCATTTTTTGGGGTCAGAAATTGACAAATCGATATTTTGGGCTGCTGAAAATCATTGTGGTTTTCCGGAGGATTAGAAAATTATTTGTCACAAGTGGAGTGTGATAGAAGCTTTTCCGCTTTAAATATATAAAGAACAGATTACGTAGTAATTTTTCGCAGCCAAACCTGGAGTCCTTCATGTTAATGTTCTTAGAAAAACACCTGTTAGATGACATCCTGAACGATCACATTATCAACATATAAGAACATATTTTCCGAGGGGTTTTTTATTTGCTATTATTGTGGGCCGGTTTGATCAAAATTTGCCCGGGCCAAAAAAATTAGCCAGTCCGCCCCTGATAGCATGACCACCAGAATCAAGAGAACAGCTTTGAAATCCCGCGAAAATTTGCAAACAAATATGGCAGTTCAGGGCCTAAAATAAGAAATTTGTACAGATCCACATTTTTTATAAAAATTGGGCGTGGTAGCTGGGATTGGCATAATGGGGGTGGCAAATATAGAAACTGTCATCATAAGGCAAGTAATATGTCCTAATTGGGCAAATTCTTAAATGAATGAAGTATAAGTAGCAAAAGCTGATTCTTTACAATAAATGGTTTGGGTTAATAAGAAAAGTAGCTACATATAGCGGTCCTAATATGTGAGCAAAAAGTTAGCGAAAGGAAACTCTTTTACATGGTTTGTTCGGATCTCTGTCAAGGTTATTTTTTATTTCCTTTCACCTTCAAAAACTCCCTTAAATCAGCCTTGCTTCCCAGACTTTGGTGTTTTTTGGTTTTTTGGAGCCATATCTTTGCAGCTTTTCTCGAAACTCGAAACTTGCGAGATCAAGCATATTTATTGCAATATTCATATCTTTGTTAAGTTTTTCTGGAGCTATGCTGCTTTCCCCACTTGCTTCTATCTTGTTGTAGGTGAGAATCAGCCTCTCTGCATCGACAGAATTAGGGTTTGCTGAGAGAATCCGAGCCATTGTCTTGTCTGGTAGAATTCCACTGAGAACAAGTCTCAGATCTCTGTGATCTTAGTCGTTTATTTCTCAAAATTTAATGTATGATTGAATGAAAAATTTTGTCTTAGAAAAAAGCTGGGTGAAGTCTCTTTTACTTATGGAAAATTCTTAATTGCATTCAGCCCATTCAATTCTCAATTAATCAAATTCTTTGCCATCAAATCTGTTTTTCAAAAAGCTTTGATACTATAAACGAGAACCTCGTTACAGTTGGCAAATAAACTCTTCTCTCGCTGATGTACAAATTGTGCTTGTTTCTTCTTATTCTCTTTTCGCCCAGTTTGAAAGCCTGATCTTTACCCCCATCTTGTTTTCAATTTTTCTCAATTTTGGTATTACGCCAAATTTGTCATAAGATTGTGCTAGATTTGCAAAAACTATGCTAGACTTCAAATCAAGGCAACCCTGCTCGAGAAAGAGGCTAATGCATGCTCAGAATATTAAAATTTGCCAGAGTTGCAATTTGGCCTTTTTGACAACCCAGTGTACTCATTCTTCATAAACAAAAAGGAAATTAAGATTCATGGTTTGATGGCCAAATTTATCCATTTTGGCAATTTCTCAAAACCCCTTGGCCGTCATAAATTGATTTTGGCCGAAGAAGCAAAATTTGGCTGAATTCAGGCAGCATGTTGCAGAAACAACAAAAATGCAATCTTTTTAAAATAATTTCAAAATTGCAAATGATGAATGATGAAACAAAGTAAAAATTTAGCTTTTTGTATACTGCGTTTAGCTGGCTTCATTTGGCTGCCAACCACAAAACATGTGGCTGCCAACCATGCAAAACAACTGGCAAAATCCTGAAGGTGGAAAGTCACAATTTACTACCAAAATAAAACTACAGATGCTGGTGTAAAGTGTTTGCACTTGGTAGCAATAGACAATGGACCAATGGAAACAATGATTTTATTTAAAATATCAGAATTGTGCCAGAGTTATGCTAGATTCTAAATTATGCTAGATTTTATGCTAAATGGCCTTTTTTGGCCAATATTATGCAATATTACCCAAGATCAGGTCACACTGGCACCAGCCCGCAAGGGAGTGGCTGGAACGGGACTAGGAGGCTTGCCCCTAACTTTTTTACGTCCACGCCCTTTGAAACACTGGAAAACATCCTTTCAGAAAATATTTGCTTCTTTATGTCCTTATTCATAAACACATAAAAAACCGAGTTAGATAAAATACAAATTTATCTTTGACCACACAAGATAAAGCACCACCAAAAGGAACAAAAACGTGTTTCCAGCAGAACTGCTACTGTATACAGAGTCCATATTACTTCAAAATAGCAAACAATATCATAAAGCGCAATTGATTTTTCTCCGCATGTACTGAAGCTTCCAGCTCTGAAGTTTCTTAATTTTTCTTTATTGTCCATTGCTTATTTTTAATTGCAATTTTCTTATAAAAAAGGAACGCAATACATAAGGCTGGCATTGGGCATTCACTTCGAATTCAAAAAATGTTCCGTTCATTTTCATAATGTTCATTTTCTGCTTTGCCCATCTTAAAGCTATTTGCTGCAGATCAGTTTTGTATAAAATATATTTTTAACATTATAGAAGCATAAAGGAATTGACCATTTCATCTTTTGTTCAAATTTTTACAATTTTCAAGGGGCCAAATGTCCTTTGATTTTTGGAACTGAAAAGGGTGATCTGACGGTAAGTGCATATGCCCGATTCGTAAGATAAAACACTCTTCTTTGATCAAATACCTCTGCTGCAGCTTCTTTGATCAATGTTTTGTGGCTTCTTATTAGCATTATCACAGCAATTTATGATAAGATTCAAGGAGGTCTACAAAGTGCGGGGGGAGCTCAGCATACACCCGTTAAGAAGCTTTGAGAATTTGCCATTGGCCACTCGTTGTTTCTTAAAAATTTCCCACTTTCAATTGTTCTGATCAATACAGGGAAATATTTTTAAAAACTTCAGGCTCAATCAATATGCTGATGGTAAAATTTAAACTTCTTATCCAGAAATTCACCTTGCCTATTCAAAATAATTTAATTCAACTTAACCCCTGTCAAAAAGGAAACAAACGATGCAATGGTGCAATTTGGCTTATTGTATTTTGCGAAAATTTTCGCATAATACAATAAGCCGTGCAATTTGAGATCCAGTGGAGACAGGTCTTCGCAATTAAAAACGATTAGAAGATGTGCCTGCTCCAGAGTTTGAAATCTAAGATTTTAACATTTGTGTTCGGGTTTTCACGTAATTTTTCATTGCGTAGTCGATTAAGGTTTTGGTTTAGTGTAATTAAGCCTTAACTGTATCTTGTGACTTTCTGACGCAGTTTTCTGTTTACCTTATTTCCTAATTGCTTCGATTATAATAATTACACTTTCGTTTGAGCCAATTGACGTAAATTGAATTGAGCATCGTCATTGGTAGTTTATTTTGGATTAATTAGTTTGCAGTATATATATAGAACGTTGAGGTTTTGTTATTGCGTGCGTGCAACTGGGGTGGTTGTGCGAACCCAGCTGTGATTTGCTGAATGGTATAAAATGTGAAAAGCTCAAATGACTTTTTCTTCAGTGTTTTCTTCAGTGAACTTTTAAGTTTTCCAACTGCAATTGGATTTTCCAACCGCCCCCCCCACGCCCCCTATTATTTACGTGCCTGGGTGATGCATTCAACACTACTGTTGCCAACTATCGTATGAATGGAAGTTTTCAGTCAATCTGATTGGATAAATTATTATCAATTTATTGCCTTTGAGCACGCGCCAATTTAATCGCGCCGTACGCGCGGCCAAGTGGAG